AAAAGCAATGCTGATTTATCTGATCTTTTTAAACTTGCTTTAGATTGAGATATAGTTATTATTATTTTTGTGTTATTAATAAAAGCAAGCCATGATCGGGAATAATTTGGCAACTAATAGTATCTAAATTTTACTTGGAGTAAATTACTTGATCCACATAAATGTTTTAAATTTGAGTTTTTAGAAACATGAGAAATCTCTAATAGAAAACGTTTCACTCTTAAATTAAGATACATCATAAGAATCTTAATTGGCATATAACAATTACCGTATTTTCTTTGTAAGACACTTGAAACTTCAACATCAAGGAGGGTCCTCCTTTTCAATTACTTAGCTTTTGAATATAAAGTTTCGAAAATAGCTATAAAAAATGAATGACCAAATTAGTTGATTCCTTTTGGACCTTTTTCTAATTCTATAATAATTAATAATAACAATAAGAAGCCACACAAATACTTTTCATTTCACATGTGAGAATGTTAACAAATTATTGGATTATCATATTTTAATATAATATAGTGCAAAATTATATTATTAAACATTAGTTTTTCCAAAATGTCAAAGAATAGAAAATGAAAAATATAGAAAGAATTGCTACAATATTTATAAATTCCACTATTAGAAAATACTCAGATTAATTAAAACATTAAACACAATTTTTTTTTTTCAAAAAGAGAAAAAGAAAAAAAGCATTTCAAGACTCTGTTCTTTCATGTGGATGATGCTCATGTAAATTACTTTGTTGATTAGATGCTTCTTCCTCTCTCATTTCCACCGGCTCCGGCACCGACACCGGCGCAGAACCGCCGGGACTACCGTTGCTGCTGCTCTCAGCAACCACCACCGGCGGCGGCGCCATAGTAACCGGTCGTGGTATCGGGTCGACCCGGCCATCGATACAAGACGCGCACTTGGTCTCAACCCATCCTTCAAAATCGTACTGAGCACGACCCATTATCTTCCGACCCGAACACAATCTGCCTATCATTACAGCGATGGCTCCCAATACAGCTATAACAGCAAGAACAGCGATTACGGGTCCAACCGACCCGTGACCCGGACGATCCGAATAAGCTTGTTGGCTCATAAACATGGGCGGTGGTAGCTGTTGCTGTAAAGGATATTCAGCTGGTGTAGATGACATTTTGAAGAATACCCAAAACTAAAAATTTCAAATCGAAGATATTCTTGTTGTTCTCCGATTCGAAAAGATAATCACATTAGATAATATTAATCAATAATTGGAAGGGGATATTTTGTGATTGAAATGAATAGAGAAAAAGTAAAAAAGGGGAAGAATGGCTGAATGGGGAGTGTTAACAATTTAGGTTTATGTTTGTGTGAGAGTGAAACAGAACAAAGCCCAAGAAAAATGCCTTTTAGTCTTAACTTTATACAAAAATGAGCAAAACAGGGGTGGTGTGGGTGGGGTGACTTACTTTTTTCTTTAAACAACTTTTTCTTTCTTTCTTTTGGTAGAGATAGAAGCTGTGGGAAACTGGTTCTTGATATGATATGAAATCTTGAAATGCCAGTATTAAAAAGAAGAGAGTCTGTACAAACTCTGCTATTAAAGCAAAAAACTTCCTCAAATTTGTTCTGTTCTGGTTCTGGTTCTGTTTATATATATAAAAAATCTCAGGAATTATTTCAGTAAAATGTAAATAGACCACCAAGAAATATCACAACTCTTTTAACTTATTAGTAGTTTGAATTTAGGACTGATCTGGTTCTGTTTCATCCGACTTTTGAACTTTTATTTGCTTTAATCACATTTTCTAAGTCCTGAAGAAAAACAAAAAACATGAAAAATTTCATAAGTAACAAGATTAGTATCCCTTATTTTGCAAAAAAATAGAAACTCGAAGCCTGGGCGTAACCACACATAGTTCAGGATGGTCAGTGGGATACCGTTCATAATAAAATCGTTAACGAAATTTCTCAGTTCAAGACTAATTAAGATGAAAGGGAAGTGTAATGGATATTGGACCATTAGTTCAGAGTTACAAGAGTCAGAATTGAATGAAGTTTGCAGGTACAAAAAGAGAGTGGTAACAACAAATCTGCAAGAAATCCTGTAAAGGCATCTTTGTACTGCACAAAATGGCCTAGTCACGCTCGGAATAATTCATAAAATTGTACTGAAAAAAGTTTCAAATCTTGAGTCTCTGGGCTCATATATATTTAACTGTTGTACAACAAGTACTCTCTCTATTCTGTACTCCCTCCGTCCCATTTTATGTGAGGTACTTTGATTCGATACGAAGTTTAAGAAAAAAAAAAGACTTTTAAAATTTGTGGTCTAAAATGAATGATAGAAATTTGTGTGACTGCAAATTATTTCATTAAGGGTAAAATTGACATTTTATAGTTAAATTGTTACTTTATATAGAAATGTCATTTTTTTTGGGACTGACTAAAAAGAAAAGTAAGTCATATAAATTGGGACAGAGTGAGTAATTTATTTTGGACTTCGTACATGTATTAAGAGCTGAAATTGCGCAGGAAAATTAGCGGCATCTCATATTCTTTCGATAATACTATAAGATAGATTAGAAAGGACTTTATTTTGGAGATTACAATGATTTATTTGGTATCTCAAGTTCTAGTTCTAAAAATAGATATTTGTTACAAGTAGAGGGTCCCATATACAAAGCTGGGGTGCACGTGCACTCGTTAATTTTGGAAAAAAATATGTATATATATTGAAAAACTGATAGAAACTAGAATATAGTAATTAACCGTATATTCATGAGGAGCATATGAGTATCTCATACCGTTGGTACAAGCCAAAGAAATCACCTATGAGACCAAAGTTTGAATCTAACTGAAGTCATATTTTATTATTTTTATTTAAAATTTAGATTAATGCACCAAAAATTTTCAAATCATCAATTCGATCGGCTTAACTAGAATCCCCATATCATATTCTGATTGAAATATGACATGATTAGCCAATTGTTTATATATAATATTTTTATTTTTAAGTGTTACAGATAAGTTTGCTTTAGTTAACAAAGTCAAAAAGGTCAGCAATCATCCTTAATTTCCTTGGCAAAGTTCATCCATTTTGCATTTTAAAAGGTTCCAATAATGTTTAGTGACTTCTACATTTATCCAAGTCAAAAGTTCATGCCTTTCCCACAATTTATTACTTCTAGTTAGGATATTAATCATGCAAAATTATTAATACCAAAAGCAATACTAGGTAGGCGTTTGGCCATAGTAATTTGTTTTGATTTAAAATTAATGTTTGTTTATGAAATTTGCACAAAATTATAATCTTAATTTCAAATTATGACTTTGAACTCTAAGTTTTTAAAATTTGACATATAAATTTATATTTTGTAAAAAAATAATTTCATTTTAAATTTGCAAAGAAAGATCCATAGTGATATCAATGTGAAATTGTCCGTACCGTGAGAAAATATTATATTAAAGAATAATTAGTAATTTTATCGTTAACTAATGATTTTTTAAAATTGTATACTTAAAAATTTATAATAGCATACGATCGTAAGTATTTACTTATATAAAAAAATAAAAATATGAGTATAATTTATAAATTCATCGACTTACTGATATCATACCTATGAAGTATAATTTTTTCATTTAGTAAAATTATATTAGACATATGGAAATTTTAATCGTTTTCGCGAGGAGCAGAAGAAACAAGACCGAAGCAAATATTCGCGAGTTTAGGTTTTGTATATTTAACATATAGAGTATTTAATAAATTTTAAAATTTTATGATTCTAAATTAAAAGTATATTAAAATCTTTTTTAATGTTATAATCTCAAACATATTATGTGAAAAATTAAAATTAAAAAATTATACATAAATATATGTTAATTTTTTTTTTTTTAAGTCTTTATAATTTTTTTTTGCTCCTTTGATGATTTGAACTCACCACCCAAAAATGAGAAGTTATTTATTGATGGTTTAGTGGGGAAAGTGCAATTGAGTAGAAACATACTCATGAAAAGGTGTCAAAAAAGAATCAGTGGTGAGAGAGGAATATCTGTGTGTCTTGGGCCTTGGGGATAGTGATGACTGATAATACAGAAGAAACACACAAAAAAAAATTAAGATGCTTTTTTGCAGGAGATGACATAGGATAAATTAAAAGGTTGATGGATTGATGTAAATATATAGCACTACTAAAAGACAGAGATTTAGTCAGGCCTCACCCCACTCTGCCAATCCAACTACAATAATTTTGGGATTCAACGTTTTTACAAATAATCTTTTTATCTTTGTGAGTTAAGTGTAAGACTCTATTTTATCTGAATTTCACTTATAAAATTATATTGAATATGTTATAATTGTTGGATTAGCTTGTGTTTATTTCCACTGATTTCATGGATAATATACTATTTCTCGTTAATAAAAATACATATCAGATAACTTTGTTCTACAAAATAAGTGAGAAAATCATTTTATTTTATTCATTTTTTTGAATCTATGGTTCTCTTGTCCTTTCTTTCCTTTTCCTTATCTTTACTTGTCTTTATATAATCAAAGGTCTTGGGTTTAAAGCATGTATACGAAGAATATTTTGTTGAGAGAGTCACTTTTGAATGAGTTTTATACCGCATGATTCGAATTTAATTAAGACTTTAATGCAGATTATGTGAGAAATTAAAAAGAAAAAAGAAATTAATATACTACATACAATTCTAACTATAGAATTATTAAAAGGAAATTTAGAGAACATAGAATCAGTGACAACATAAAATTGAAGGGGCATTGAGCATAAAGAACAAAAGAGTACAATGTTTTTTTAGCACATCGAAAGTCAAGCATTAGGACCACTTTTTCCTTCTTTAAAATATTCTAATAGACCAAAGTTTTCTTATTTAAGTGGGATCCCATTGTCCATATATTTCCTTCGTTCCAATATAAAATAAAATCGACACTTTTTAATGATCCAAAATGAATAAATCAAGGCGAAATAATATAATAAAACGAAAATATCTACTTGAACGATATCATTTGATATATAGTTAAATTATTAGTACAAACATAGATACTGAAGCAAGCACACTTGATAAACTTTGTCTAATAATTAAACTAAACATACTTGACAGAAACACTTTAATAGTAGTAATTTACAGAGCCACATACTTTTCTAATTTGTCCAGTTTCTCCAGTAAGGACCCCAACATTTCCTAATTTCACCATTGATGCAGCAAAGTCTTGGAAGAAAAGATAAGGGTACAAACTGTAGGATTTTACCATATCAGCTGTCTCAGAATTTGACATTAGAGCTTGATCAGATTCAAGAAGTCCTGTGTTGATCATAAGGTTTCTGTAATATGCATTGTCGAATCGCGTAACGGATTGAATGTCTAGAGGAGTAATTTTGGTGTTGGGTCCCTCTTCAGGACAAGTGCTTTGCAAATTTGACAACATTGAAGAATCAAGAATTGGATCTGGCTTTCCTGAGTCTTGATAGTTGAAAAGTCTCCTCTTGAATGTGAAACATTGGGCAAAACCAATTGTGTGTGCTCCTATATCACACGAGACAAGTCATACGTAGAGTCAGAAATTTCATTAAGGAGAATTAATTTTAGACGGCCTAAACTAATATTTGAACCATACTTAATGTTGTTACACTAGAAACTTTCAAGGAGCTAGAGTCTATATATGCAAACAAAAATGATTGTTGTTATCCTATTTTGCATTATAATGTTCCTACGAAGGGGGATTAAATCGAACCATGTAGGTCTGCCACTAATAAGAGACAAATTTAAATCATCAATACAAATGCAGATTTAACTTTATACTAATAAGATTAAAGGTACCTGAAAGAACCACTACATCCCTTAGATCAAGGCCCTTATCAGTAAACTTGGCCGCGATTTTATCCAGGGGCTCAAAGGGTGAAGGTAATTGGTCATTTGCTGCCTTCTCACTTGCAGTTAGTCCATCTCGTCGACCAAGTAAAACTGGCCAAAATGGTCCTCCTGACTGTAAAGGAAGAAAGGAAAATATATTGTCTTTGGTTCATTTCCAGGCATTACAATACTTGAGTAAATATGTTGCTACTTACCATGACAACAACTTCTCTAGCTGCAAGAGTTAATATATCCACACAAGATACAGTTAATGGACAAGCTCTTTCAAGGTCAGCTTTTATGTTATCGATTGTCTCAAATCCTCGGACTGAGTTGCGATTTGGTGCAGCATTCTTCTCACCCTTGAAATCATTTGTGTCATCAAGAAGCACGGATCCATCACAACCCTGTCAAACATAAGCATAAACTGATGACTCAATAAAGTATTACCCTAAGAGTATGCAATTAAACGTACGTGGATGAGTACTCAATAAGAGAAAATTACATTTACAAAACAGTCGTGGAAGTGCAAACGGAGGAGGGATGCAGCTATTCTGGAATCATTACGGAGAGCTGACCAAACATTCCAACGAATGATCCTAGGCAAGACGGGGCATGCTCTATCATAGTAACTGTAATCAAGCTGACCAGAAGTTAAGGGAGCCATAATACTAATCATACAGAAAAAAACAGTAAGGCAGGGGAACAAACTACGACTCGCCATAACTTAACTGATTCTTGTGACTTGTGTTGAGCTACATAGAGCAATTTATATACGACTAAGTTACATTAGTGGACTTAAGAGTGGGAATGCCACTATGTACATGTGAGCTTAATGGACATGTAAGCATTACAATTTTATACTATATTTTACTAAAGTTCAGTGCTGATGAAGTTATCCACTTTGATATTTATACATTAGTTAGACAAAATGCAGCAAAGATATTATATAGAGTTTCGACAATGCATCCAACCACTGAGAGATGAAAGTGCATGTCAATCAAAGCACTTATGACTTCAATGGAACAGTGTATATCCGCGGAATAACAAGACAAGTCTGGAAATAAAACAGTGTTAAACTTTTGAGTTACTGATGACAAAATTGAATATTTCAAGATATTATTTTTGAAGACGGATTAATTCAAGTTGGATCTTCTAAGCCATTCAGAAACCAAATGACAGCACTGCGAAAGCAAGCAATCACTTTGAATCAGGTCACAGGAGCTGTACCTGAAATCATGTTGGTGAGTTCCTTGGATCAAATATATAGATATTTTGGTAATTTTTGATTACCCCATCAAAACTGCATAGTTTTCTATCATTTTTGTACCTTCCGGGCTGATTTCTCATATGGTCATTCAACTAACAATTGTTATCTTAGTTAGCTTTCTTCTACAAAGAAACAGCTTCAAATTATAACACAAAAGAACATGCTATTGACAGCAATCAAAATCAATGAAAGCATATTTACATGTATTAAAACATCTATTGGGACATTAATATTAGTATACTACCATATAGTCCTTACTTAATCCAGATTTATGTCACAGACACGTCTTTTTCTTCGCTACAAAAGCAAGTCCTAGCTCTAAATCAGATGGCTTCATTCAACAAATTAAATTAGAGCAAGTAACAGAATGTCAAACTTGGATAGCTATGACCTAATCAGCCATTATTCGATGTACTTGAACAAAAGTATTTTTTAAATAATACAGTTGAGAATAAGACAGAATTAACATGAATGTCCACTTTTCAAATGAGACAGAAACTAAAATAAGAGATTTGAACATGTGCTGAAAATTCCATTCAGTAGAAATAATGCAGGATACTGTCATTGCCACTGTATTATATTATCTTTAATAAATAGTGGAGAAGACAAGATATACTAACAAGTATCTGCTGGTATTATATATGCATATGCATATCATAGAAAAATGTATAGACAAAGCGTGCGTGCACCACTTTTTATAGCTTAATTCCTCATCCCACAAAAGGCCAAGATGTCATATTCTATTGGAGTGCCGGTTAAAGGGATTATTAGAACAATGAATCTCAGAAGAAACGTTGACAAATATATATAGTTGATTTCTCATATGCTCACTCAAATATTTTTTTGTTGCTGTTGAAGAGAATTGGAATATAGAGGAAAGGTGTTTTTTAAGATATAACTATTATTAGTTGAGTGACTACGAGAAATCTAACCCTAACACAATATAAAGTCTTTTTTTTATTGAAGAAAATTGAAATCCAGAAGAAAGGTTTTGTGTAATCTGAGACATCAACCCTAAGACAGTATAAAATCCCCAAAAACGAACAGGCCAAAAGGGGAAGAGTTTCATAAAGATTGAATGAGCAAACAAAAAAAAAATGGCCCATGCAGGTCTCGAACCTGCGACCTTCGCGTTATTAGCACGACGCTCTAACCAACTGAGCTAATGGGCCATTGTTGAACTATTAGTTGCTGAAATTCAATATGTCCAATTTATTGGTTTTCGAAAGCTGCCGGAGTCTTTTCTTCTCCGGTGGTTATATGTCGCTCCTGTATTTACGTTTACTTTCATAAGGCCCCTAACCCGTTTGAAAATGATTTTTTATTACTGATTTTAATCAGGTTAGTTTGGAGTTAAAATTTTGTTTGGATATATCATTTAGATTTTTAAAGTTAAATAATGTTTTATAAACATAAAAATCTTTTAACTTGTAAAAACTATTAAAATTTTACTTACTTTTATACAAACTTACTAAATGAGCAAATCATAATTCATAATTTTTTTTATAAAATATCCTAAAACATCACATTAATAAACTACATATCTCCTCCATGTTTGTAATTTATATGGTCACTGTTACAGAGTTTTTTTTTTTTTTTTTTATCGTATCCTTGAAGGAAGGAAACAACTCAAATCCTTAGCAATAATGAACAGATAATAATTCTTTTAAGGACATATAAACAACTTATGGGCTTGGTATATTTTTTTTCTCTCTCTTCTACATTTTTTATTTACTACTTTGAATACAGGATACTGTCAAGTGACGATAGTAATTTTATATTCAATTCGTAGAGTTTAAGATAATACACAACCACACTTGTCTATATACAACAATTACTCTCTATAATAACAATCACTATAATAATTATGTTTTCTTGTGAAGTCAATGTTTCATGCTAATAATAAAAATATCTTGCTATTATTATATATCAACTAAAAAATATCGGGACAAACAACATTAATGTTATAAATTAATGCACGTTGATAAAAGGCAAAATCAAAATGGTCTCATTTTGCTCGATCTCTTTCTAAGTTCCTTATTCCCTTAAACAGGAACATGAATCAATAATCATAATTTATGCCAACAATTATATATTGAACTGAAATGAATCAAAAGAATATAAATGGTGGATAATCTGTCAATAATGCAAAAAAAAGTAGAATCAAATCTCAGATTCCAGAACAAAAAACAAGTTATAAATAGTCTCAAAGCGCAGACTTATATACTACTATACACTTTTGTAAAATGAATGAATGCTCAAAAATCACTGCATAAAAGTGGAACATAACATTATTTCCTTGACTCTCAAAAACTCTGAAATCCAAAATCTTTTTTTTTTCTTTTGGTGACTAACCAAAGGGGAAATAAAATTGATCAAATTTCCAATCAATTAGGCAACATGTACTCCGGATATAACAGTAGCTGTGAGAGGCTTCCCTCTTCCCATGGTGAAACCTCTCGTTCCATCGGGCATTCTTGGCCCTTTTGTAACTTGTCTCACTGGTCCTTCACCTAAACCTGAGCTGCTGCTGCTTTGTGGAAGTGCAGCAAGTAGGCCTCGACCACCATGAATTTGAGGACGCATTCTTAATTTCCCACGTCCTTTGTTCCATGCTTTCTTGGCTGATCCTACACCGTCTTCAACCTAACATTTTTAATACCACGATTATTAATATACTGACACTGTATATAAGTTAAATCCTTAATAATAAACAATGACATTACTTACATTATTGCTATCAGAGTCTTCAGAGGGCAGTCCATCTTCATCATCAAAACATCCTTCAAATTCACACTTTCTGATCTTTAGTATAGACTTTGGCTGCAATTTCAACGAAACAATTCATAACAACTATTCGAGAACTGTGAAGCAAAACTGATAGGATGAGACTTACTGAACGTCTGAGGAGTAACCTCACTCTTAGGCCTTTTCTCCAATTCCTTTCATCATTTAACTTCTCAACCTGATCAAATTCAAAATGAATAAAAAGTAAAGCGACTAAACTCAAGAACTTAAATTAATCTTAAAAATGTATCCACATACTGCTCTCTCAGCTGCTTCAGGATTCTCAAACTCAATCAGTGCATGGAGCTTCAATATGAACAAGAACCAAAAAAAAAAGAGAATGAGTGGATCAGAGTAATCTGTTAATGACTGAAATTTAGTTTCGAGTTAGTCTTTTAATACCTTGTTGCTAATGCCAATGTCTCCTCTAGCACGCGACAAGTTTGGATCCTGGGGATGACATACACGGATGGTTTTGACACTTGAATTGGAAATATAACAAGTTAGTTCAATTTGCTATAGAATAAACACAGTTAAGTAGATGAAAAATATGGACAAAAGGGGTAAAAATATCACCTTCCAGCTACCTTGAATATTTTCTCAATGTTGTGATGGGAGTGATCATCTGGTAAATTCTCAGCAACAACTGTGCGTAACTAAAAGTAGGAACCCCCAAAGCATAAAAATATGAAACTAATCAAAACTATAATATATGAGAAAATATGTATGTATACCTGCAAATCCTCTTTATCCTTATCAGTAAATGGAATTCTTCTTTTAACCTTCTTGCCATCATTGCTTACAATCTTCAACAAAGTATAGAAAAACTGAGTCGTTTATCGATGTTCATAAATTCAAATTAAAAAAAGTTTATAAATGTACCAGTTTTGTAGAGGAGAGGAGGGCATGAGCAAGTGTCTGCTGGTTAGTTATGAGGGACTTGATTTTCTTCGTAGCCGAAACAGAGGAAATTGGGACTGAAGTCATCATAATATAAATCAAAAGACATTCAAATGCAGAACAGAATAAGAAATAACGTTTTCTAATACTGACCAAAGCCTTCAAGGTCCTTATTCATCTGTCTCAATAAGCTCTCATTTGCCAGCAAGCTCATGTCACTAAGTTGATATTCAACCTAGATCATGAAACAGAGGTTTTAAGTTAAAAAAATCATGAGAATGGAGTGAGAGATGAAAAGAGACCTGTTTAATGATCTTGTTCTTGACATCTTCAGGAAGAACATCTTTTTGAAGCAACGCAGAGAAATTTTGATTAGGAACATAAGAAAGAGTGTCTTGATCAGCAACATATAACCAATCAGAAGTAGTATTACCCCCAGAAACATACTGAAAATATGGGTAAAAATAACTTGAAATTGGAGTTGTTGTATTATGAGATCTTGGTACAAATTCAGGTGCTTGCACATTAAATTTGAAACATGCACTATCATTATTAGCTTCAAAATGTCTACTTTCTTGAATACATTCTTCAACAACTCTTTCAGGTTGCAATTGTGCCATATTCTTTTCTTTTTTTAGTAACTTAGAATTAATTTTCTTGAAGATTTATGAACATAGTATATTCATTCATATCATAGTGTTTGTTTTCTCTTTCCATTGATCTAGTTGAATGGTGGAGCGACAAAATTGGTACACTCTCTCCACATTTGACCAATTATTTATTCCGACCTTTCCTAACTGCATGCC